GAAGGAAGGAAGGAAGGAAGGAAGGAAGGAAGGAAGGAAGGAAGGAAGGAAGGAAGGAAGGAAAGCAGGAAAGAAGGAAAGAAGGAAAGAAGGAAGGAAGAAAGAAAAAGAGAACAAGAAAGAATGAACCATAATGTAACATGGGATCTCCCCAAAGGCCTGGTGCATCTCTTAGGATTTACAGCCTTTGTTCTAGGAGTGATGGAGAGCACTCTGCACATGGAGCTCATTCCCAGCCATCCCTGCTCCCTTGCTGTCTTTGGGAAACTGATTCCAGGAGCCTTGGGATACTGAAAACCATAGAGTCTGTCGCCTCCTGCTATACACTGTCATCACATCTAGGAGAGTTACACAAGGTCCCACCATCTAAGAGCTCTGGCTCTCTCCCCTTGGAGGGAGGCCCTGTTATTGAGGGACATCTAGGTCACATCTTCTGCCCCAGTGTCTCACAGTCTAGATGACAGCGATTCTTGGGGCCTACTCTACCCATGAAGCAAGGCAGAAGCTTGGACCCAGGCTGCGGAGGCTTCGTGTGCAGCTGTGCATTCAGCCTCCTCCTCCCCTCAGGGTAAGATTCAGGCAGCTTCTTCATGACCTCTTCCCAGGAACTGTTCCTGGAAGGTTCCTCGGATCCTAGTAAATAGGGGCCAGTGTTTGGGGGTGCTCAGTCCCTACTCAGAGTCCCTGCCTTTTCTGTTCCCCACTCCAGTCTAGTTTCATGACAAGATCACTTTGTTTTATTTCCTAGTGTGGACAACTCTGAGGATCCTGTATATGAAAGCCTGGAAGAGTTCCATGTCTTTGTCCTAGCCCACATACTGCGGAGACCCATTGTGGTGGTGGCAGACACCATGCTAAGAGACTCTGGTGGTGAAGGTAGGATCCTCAAGGAGCTGAATTTAGCGGTGGTCCAGAAAAGGTGACATCTACCTGTACATAGGCAGAGTCATCATGTCGCTTTAAGACATACACAAAGATAGCATTTCATGCATTTCTTCTTCCTCCAGCACAGCACTGATCACCTGCCCTGCATGACACCAGCAGGAGACTATGAGAAATCTGGCCAAGCACCACAGACTGCACAGATCCCTATGAAAGCCCCAGGCCCTGCTCCAGGCCCTCTGCAGGATAGCGTATTAGGGAGGAAAGGAAGGAGGGCAGAGTGTGGAGGCTCTGAAGGGTGGTGAAGAGTCAGGGACTACAGGGGTAGCCAAGCTGCTGCTGTCTGGCCACTGAGAGCCTCGCCCATGCATGACCTCTTAGATGACCCCTCCCTCAGCACTTGATACAGTCTCCCCCCAGATAGATAAGTGCGCTGAAACCCCAAGTAAGGCTGGACAATATCCCCATCCAGGTTGAGCCAGAGACAGGGCGTAGACCCTCACATGTCATCCCTAAGCCTGAAGCTCCTGCCAGTCCAAGGAGCTGTAGTAACGATGACTGAAACTCCACAGAGCTGGCCATGCAAGACCCAGGAGAGCTGTCACCAGGCCCCTGCCCCCCTCAGCAGACCCCACTCCCAGCACTTTCCCCAGTGTGGTTCATTTCCCGTTCTCCCTGGTGGCACCAGTGCAATCCAGTTCACTCTTGCTGCCATGTTTCCTTGTTTGTCACTTGTAAAGACGGCATTGTCCACATCTCTTCATTGCGGCAGGCCAGTGAAGAGACCCTGTGACATTTCACTCGGCTTCACTTACATGTAAATCCATCCCATAATAGAAGTCATGCATGTCCTGGAGCCCTGATGGCCAGGCACCAGTCTTCATGCCAGAGAAAGACCAACGTGGCCATGGCTGCTCTGAGGGCAAGGGCTAGCAGAACGTGCATCCGTGCATCCTGCCCAGCTCCCTTTGCCTGCTGCCAAGCACCAGAGCCAGCAGCCCTCTGGTCCACGTCCCTTCTCCTTATTACAGCCCTCAAACAGGATGTTTATGTGGACAGAATCATCCTGCCCAGTACAGACTGAGGGAAGGTGGGGCGGGGGGATAACTGAGAGATTCTCAGAGACCACTCTAAAGGCCCCTGTGCTCCACACTAAGGAGGGTGCAATTCCCACCCTGAGGCCAAAGGCAATGTTCTTCATGATCAAACCCTAGCTGCTAGGCTCAGGGGTTGGCCCAGTGGGTAGACTGCTTGCCTGGCATGCATGAAGCCCTGGTTCCATTTCAGCAGTGCATAAAATGGGCATGGTGGTACATGCCTGTAATTCCAGCACTCAGGGAGTCAAGGGAATTGGAAGTTCAAGGTCATCCTCAGCTATGAATGTAGTAAGTCAGGTCTATATGAGACCCTGTTTTAGTGGGGAAAAAAAAGAAAAGAATCAGCTACTGCTTGGGGCTGGTATTCAAAGAAGTGGTTTTCAGGCTTCTCTTCCCTTGTTCTCCATGAGAACATGAACAGGATGGTATCTCACCACACAAAGATAGTGTCTCCACTTCTCATGTTCCACCTGATCAGTACCAGGGCTCTCTGGCTGCTCCCTTCTGTTCCGTAGAAGTTGTTTTTAATATACACCAGGCACACACAGGAAATGTAGATCCTGCCTGCGTGTGAACATTTCAGTGACACCAGAAGAGAAAGGACAGCATAGACTTCTAGACAAGCTAGCGGGTGATACGTCTGACCATCTTGGGCAATGGTCTTAGCCCTGACCCTGGTGCTCTTCTGTCTATGGTGTGGCCCTCAGTAGCAGGCTACCCAGGCAGATCACCATGGAAACCTTCAGTCCTGGCCCTGAACACTAATTCTGTTCCCCTATTCCCTCTCCCTGCATCAACCCACTCCTCCCTTTCCCACTCTTGCCCTCTAACTCTCCCCGTGTCTGTGTCCACAGCGTTTGCACCCATCCCATTTGGAGGGATCTACCTGCCCTTGGAGGTGCCTCCCAACAGGTGCCACTGTTCGCCCCTGGTTCTGGCCTATGACCAAGCGCACTTCTCGGCCCTTGTGTCCATGGAACAGAGAGACCAACAGAGAGAACAAGGTTTGTCCAGCTCCTGAGACATAAAGGGGTAAGGTGGGGTGGAGGAGGGTTTGTGTGGACAACCGCCTAGAGCACATGCACACACAAGGAGCAGCCATGGTTTCTGCATGTGTGTTGACTGGCAGTAGTGGCATTAGAGGTAATGGCCACCTAAACCACTTCAGAAATAAGTGATGATGCTACTGCCTGTACTTAGCTGTTGGTTTCTATCACAGGCATATGTAAATTTTCTATATTTTAATTAATTTTAACTGACACTTGTATGTATGTCAGTGTACATACTGTGAAGTACACTAGTCAGGGAAAACATATCTATGTCCTCTGCCATTACTTCTGATGTTGAAAATGTTCAAAATTCTCACTTCTTCTAGCCTTTGAAATACACGTTGTCTGTGCCCTTAGAGGGGTTTTTAACTGTAAAACTAATTATTGCTGATGTTCTGTGTGGATTTATAGATGGATGCAATCCACCTCAGATGGAGTTGGAAAACAAAATCCCTTCAGGGCAAGTGTTGGCGAGCTGTGGCCCACCACTTAGCTTGCAGATAGTTTTAGTGGCACACAGCCAGACTCACTGCCTGACATTTTTCCTGTGGCTGCTTTGCAATGGGGCTGCAGCGTGTGTGTGTGGCCTGCTGGCCTCCGACATTAATTTGTTGGCACTGTTCATGAAAGGCTTGCCCACTCCTGCTGTGCACTCGTAAGCTTTTGACCCAAAAAGTCAACACTTTATCTGTGGATCATGATAGCCAGGTTTCCTGCAAGAAGCCATCTCAGTGCTGATGGGACCAGCGCCACCTGCTGCCCGGTGCACAGTTGCAGCTGACAGTAAGACAGGTGGGCCTGATTCACTGATGGCGAAGAGGACTTTGTTGCGCTCTGAGTTAGCTGTGATGGATATGTGAGTGTCTGGGTTTTAGTATTGCCACTGTTATTTGCAGTACAGAATGAGATTTTCCTCAGGAGACTGAAGGCCAAGGAAATAGCATGTGTTCTAGGGTTTGAGCCCTTGAATGTGATTCTAGGAAACCCCAAGTGGTTGGTTCAGGGCTCCCACAAGCCAGAAGTTCGGGGTAACCATCCTGACTCTGAGTGTATCAGTGCCTCCCCATCCTGCCCGCTCCTGTGGACAGCTGGCAAGGTAGGACACAGACAGAGCCCTACCTCCTCCAGCCCCTATAAAGCACCCCTTCCACATGTGTTCCTGGCCTGATAGCCAGTCAGAGAGTCCACAGGTCTGTGGGATGGACTCTGAATGATGCAGGGTGTAGAAAGATCCCCAGCCCCCTTCCCAAAAGCCAAATCATAGTGCAGCTCACATGCTGATGCAACTAGGAGTGGGTCCAGGCAGCCCAGGTAACAGAATACTGTTCCTCACTCCTCCTCATAACTCACCCACTACCCCTGACCACCAGAAGAGGCTCTCCAGCATCAAAGCCTGGGGTGAGCATGCTTTTCCCTCATCTCTCTGCTTCCAGCGGTGCCTGCCTCATTCCCCAGGGTTTTGTTTGGCTTCTGTTTTGGCATGGTCTGAAATGAGGCCTTCCTGTGTTGTCCAGAATGGCCTCCAAAGTCCTGGACTCAAGGGGTCTTCCTGCATCAGCTTTCCAAGTTACCGAAACCATATGCACATGAAGGCCACCACCTTTAATACTGTAGCACTTTCTACACGCTGTGACTTGGGCCAGGGCTGGGACTCTTGACAAGAGTCCCACAAGCCCCTGAGGTCAACATCAAGTTCCCAGTCTCAGGTCCCCCAGGAGGTCTTCCAGAAGTCTCTGTGGTAACTGTAAAGCTCTCCCTAGAGAAACAATAGCTGTGGAAGGTACTATCACATCCCTCTAGGGAATATGGCAGTGTACAGGTTTCACCCTGGGGGACAAGCTTTTCCCAAAGTCTGGGTTCTGACCCCAGAGCACAGTAAGATTAACTCTTGGCTTCTGTGGGTGTTGGGTCCCTCCATAGTCTCTGTGGGTCCTGCCTCCATGGCCACTATGTGCCTAGAATTGCGCATTCCCACTACCAGTCCTTACAAGCTGGGCTAGAGCCCTAGAGGATACAGGCTCTCTAGAGGATATACCTCTATATACCAACAGTGGCTCTGCCATCACCCAAGGGAGACACTGAAGAGATGCTGTGGGTAGCTGACATCCTGGATGGCCCAAAGCCTGACTACGTTGTCCCTGTGTGTGGCCTTCCCCACCATAGGCACTCACCAGTGCTTTGGGTGGGGCCTCGGCAGCTTCAGACACAGAAGCCAAACTAGGACTGATATCACTGTCCTTCTCCATGACTTCACGCATAGATTCACTGTGCTGTGGACCTTAGCAACAGGCATGCGATTCAGTGTCTTTCCTTACTAAGTTGAACATCTTCCCCTTTCTGCTTCAAGGAAGTACTTCCTGGCTTCTCCTTGTGGGTCTCAATTCCATCATTGCCGACTTGTGCTTTGGGGCCCGTGGATAAGGGGTGGTATGCAAAAGTACATAGATCCCTGAGCATCAGCCTGACAGCCCAGGCAGCTGCGGACAGCAGACAGCTAAAGATAGCATCTACTGTGAGGGCTCGGCGCACAAAGGGACGCTGCCCCTGCATGGGAGCTGTGACCTTCTTCACACGGCTCAGAACAGTGCTCAGCTTCATCTTGTGAACCGTTGATTTCTATATACTATTTTAAATCATGGTCAGCTATAGTGAAACTACAGAAGCTTCAGATGAAGGAGTTCCTGCCTCACTGTTCCATGCCCTGTGCCACCCACACCCTGACCTGGGCGGCAGCTGCTGGGTTGTGAAGTGCAGAGGACGACTGTGAACCGAGTCCTGTGTCCCTGTGAACCGAGTCCTGTGTCCCTGTGAACCGAGTGTCAGAATGAGACTGTATTTGTCACTAACATCTTTAAAGAGATTAAAACTCGAGTGGCCCCTACCCAGCACCTCTCTACGGAGAGGAAATTGTTGGTGTCATGATGCACACCTTAATCCCCAGCACATGGGAACTTAGCAGGAAGTTAGAAAAGCCTGGTTTTCATAGAGAAACTCTCTCAGAAAGAGAGAGAGAGGAGAGACAGAGAGAGAGAGAGATTTAGGTTTCACAAAACCATGTGAGAATGCAGAGGTAGGGGCATTCCCAAGCCAAGGGAGGAGGTCAGAAGAATGTGCCCCTGATGAAGACTAGATCCCAGAGTGTAGTTTACACCTCTGCTGTTTGAGCCCCCAGGCTGTGGTGGTGTTGAAATGGCCATGGACTTTAATAAGACCAGTTCTTCAAGCAAATAACAGTGGATGAGTTTAGCCAAAAATTCACAAAACTATAAAGCCAAGTCACTCATTACCTCCTCATCTTCTTTCTCTAAAGACCTTGACCTACAGTGATCCTGGTGCCTCTGGAGGAACCTTCCTCACAGAGGGTGGATCCAGGCTCCAAGCCTCCCCTCCCCTGGTAGCACCAAGCCACAGCACTGTAAGGACCATGAGTGGCTTCTCCAAGAGCTTCCAAGGAAGCCAGAAGGCACTGTGGTGGTTTGAATGGGAATCCCCCCCTCCCCCCGCGTGTGCCAATAGACTTGTGTGCTTGAACACTTGGTCCTCAGTTGGTGGAACTGTTTGAGAGGGTTTAAGAGATGTGGACCTGTGTGAGATGTCGGGGTCCAGCCTGAACCAGTTTGTACCTTCCAGGGTAGGGGCATGTGGGTTAGAAACGTTAGGCAGAATAGGCAGAGGAGAAACAGAGGATAGTACTGGAAGGGCAACTCCCAGTATTCAGTAAGTACTGAATACTGCGTCTGCCTGCATTTACTTTCCAGATGCTTATATACCCCAATCCAAAAAGGGAGTAGAAGGCGAAAGACTGCTTTAACACGATACAAAGAGCAATCAGAACAATTATTAGATTCAGTACTTGAGACATCAAGCCATTATTTCCAATGCTAAGCATTCTGATGTTTTGGACAGGATATGTAACATATACACCCTAGCCCAAGTATCCTGTAGGCAGACACTCCCTGGGTCAAACCTCCTGTTTTAAAATGAAGGAGCAGGAATAAGCTTAAATTCTCGACCTTTGGTCAAGGTGAAGCAGAGCCACCTCTATGGGCCCGTCTTAATGTCCAAAACCCCAAGTAACCACACTCTAGGTCAGGCTATCTTGTTTGTAGCCACACCTGTTATGAGCAACTTCTTCGAAAGAGTAAAAATAAGGTCAGACTCTCTGACCTTTAGTCAAGGTGGAACAGGCTCACATCTGTGGGCCCACACAGTGAGATTTCCAGTACTCTTGATCTGTCTCATGGCTGTGGATCACGATGTGAGCTTCCCCTTTGAATTATAGACTCTAACACTCTGAAATAGTAAGCCAAATTACTCACTTTCTTGTCTAAGTTGTATTGGCCATGGGGTTTTACCACAGCAACAGAAAAGTAACCAAGGTAGGCACATCCACTGAGGACCAGCCAGAGCCCCTTGAAGGTAAGAGCCATTTCAAACTCATGGAGTGCCTGAATGCCTTTTACAAGGAGGAACTTCTGGGATCTAATCATATCCAGAGGTTTCTGACTCAGTTCAGTACAGGAACTTCCTTGGCCAGTGTGAGCCGTCTTCTGATGATCTGCACCTGCTCAAACTGTGCGCTTCCTGGTGCCCCATCACCAAATGCTGCGCCTGCCACCTGTTACAGCTGGAAGCAATTTCTTAAAGTGATACTTGGCAGATTCTTAAAGACCCAAGCCCCCAAGTCACTCCAAGTCACCCTATGATCCTATGATAAAAGCCACTAAATGTAGTAACTGAGGGGCACTCCAGTAGCCTCAAAATGGGATAAAATGTGTTGTGGGCTGTAAGTGGAGGCCCCACCTTATCCCCCCTTCCTCCTTTCCCTCAGCAGTGTAACTACATGCATCCAATCTCCTGGTGCTTAGCAATGTATACAGCTTTTCTTTACCTCCCCACACAAGGGCCTGCCCTGTGCTCAGTTCTATGAAAGAGCTCTCTGCTTGCTTCCAGCTGCTGCTGCCACCTCCAACATTCGAGAACCCTCCTGTCTTCCCCAGGCCAGGCATGTGACAGAGGAGAAAGAAAATCGAGGCAAACGTTGTAGCTGGTAGAATAATCCAGTTACAGCAAGGCTGAGTGGGCAAGCCTTTAGCAATTCCTTTAGGGTCTTTTAAATAGAACACACATATTTTCTTAACAGTTCACACAAACGGCGGTCACCTACTTTCTCCAAGGGAATATATTCTGGGTCCTTTGGCCTCATAATAATCTAGTTCCTGGTTCTTCGTCAGGCTACAGGAAGCAGGCTGCTGTGCCCATAGGCAGTCTCTAATGGGACTCCCTGTGACCTTCAGATGGCCCCCAAGGGGAACTCTCTGAGAGCCTAGCACAGAGCATTTCATTCTGGCTCAGAGCAAATGGGTGAGTTATAAAAACACACAGTCAGCTGACAAGAGAACAGAGGAGCCATGTAGCTCCCTGAACACAGGACTCAGAACAACGTTTGGCAATGATCACCAACAGGCCCCACTCACAACGCTTCAACTCAGAGTTTTCAACCTTACAACAACGTAGAGACACATTCAGTAGAAACCACACCTAGGATTTTGAGTTTGGTCTTTTCTTGACCTAAAATGCACAGTGTGCCTCTCTCACGATGCTGGGGTGGTATCCAGCATAGCTCCCTGTCAACCTTGCAATCGGGCAGAACTCTGCACTGTGTAGTGTGCTGTGTTGTTAAGTCAGGGTACACAGCAGGGTAGAGGTATGGAGATTCCTTTATGGATTTTCTAACTTGTAATGGACTTACGAACACACAGCCCCATCCTAAGTCAGGAATCATCTACACAATAGACTTATTGTTGTACTGAATGAAATTACTCAGTGTTACTTGCTGTTTTGGAGTAAAGTCTATGCAATGCCCTAATGTAAGGAAAAATAAAAGGCAACAAATTGTCAGTGAGCTTCCCATCACTAGAACAACATCCCTGTGATAATATACAAAGAGAAGAACTTTGTTTGGACTTAAGGGTCTACACATTCCACTTGACAGTCCATTGCTTTGGGTCTCTCTGAGCAGCCATTGTTGTAGTACATAGTGGAGCGAACCATTCATATCACAAGCCACAGAGCAACAGAGAGTAATGAAGGCCATGGTTCCATAATCTCCTTCAAAGGAACATACCCAGTGGCCAAAGACCTAGGCCAAATCTTCTCACGATGCTTCAACTCAGAGTTTTCAACCATAACTTTCAATGTAAACTTAGGATTTTGAGTTTTGGTCCAACTAGGCCCACCTCCCTCAGTCTCTGCTCTCTCCCTCAAAATCCACCACCTCCTACAGCATTACCCTGGAGTTCAAGCCATCAACACCTCAGGGGCCATGTCCTAGTTCAGTTTCTTATTGCTGTGATAAATACCATGAGCAAAAGCAAGCACCTGTGGAGGCGGGAAGTATTCTGTTATTCACCTTATAACTGTCCGTCATGGGAGGAAGCTAGGACAGAGACTCAGGGCAGGATCTGGAGGCAGGAACCAAAGCAAAGACCATGGAGGAGTGCTGCTTACTAGCTTGCTCCCCATGCCCTTCTCAGCTTCCTTTCTTATACCATCCAGGGATATTTGCCAGGGGTGATAGCACCACCTATGGGTTGAGCCCTCCCACATCAATCACAATCAAGACAACGTCCCATAGGCTCACATACCTGCAAATCTGATATGGGCATTTTCTCAACTGAGGTTCCCTCTCCACAGATTATCCTAGCCTATGTCAAGTTGAACAAAAAAGACAAACCAGCAAAACTGATCCTTTCTCAGCTTCACACAAAAAAACATCACTATTAAACCTCTCCTTTCTTGTTTGCCCCCAAAATTATGTTACCAATGATATAAAGGATAATTTTTTAAGTCCTTAAACATTCAAACACTTCAAAATTCCAAGTTCTCTTTTACAATATCCAAAGTCTCTCAACTGTAGACTCCTATAAAATAAAAAATAAGTTACATACTTCCTTATTCCAAGAGGGAAGAACTAGGGCACAGCCACAATCAAATAAAAACCAAATTGCAACAGTGTTTAAAACTTATAAACTAACATTTGGAATTCACTAATGATTGTCTCAGCTCCAATATGCTTGGGAGCTCCACTTGACCACCTCTGCCATCCACCGGACACACAGCCTGCCTCATAGGTTCAGGCCAGCTTTATTCCACACCTGCTGCTGTCCTTGGTGGTCACATCACACACTGGGCATCTCTGGTATGCTGGTGTCTCCACTGCAGTTAATCTGTTTCTTCACCAGTGGTCTCTCTTTAGGAACTCTGACCCTGCCATATGGTGCCAAACCTTGGCTGTTCTCCATGACCTCTTCGAGCCTGCAAAATTCATACCACCAAAGTCAGAAACGTTCAAGACTCTTACACATTACCAAGTTTCAACTTCCAGCTTGAGATGCAGCCTTGGCTCACTCTGGTCTACAGAGTGAGTTGCAGGACAGCCAAAAACAACAAGAACAAAATCATAGCTGATTCTTCATCCACAGCTGACCAAAAAGATTCTTAATTCAATCCATATCATATGAATGACCTTTACAGAGTCATGGCTTACCTCGAAACTTCGTAAGTCAGGCCTCCATCATCTGCATTTCTTTCCCAACATTCTTCTCTTCCAAATTCCCAGAGAGATGCCCATTAAGTTCTGAGTTCCAAACACTTCCATAGTCCTCCCCAGAATAGCATGATCAGGATCCTGGTACCAATTTCTGTCCTTGTTTGTTTTCTATTGCTGTGAAAGACACCAAAACCACATGGTGAAGGGAAGTGCTTTTTTGTTTGCTTGGGTTTAGTGTTGGTTTGGTTTTATGCTGTTGTTGTTTGTTTGTTTGTTTTGATCTACACATCGTGGTAATAATCCATCATTGAAGGAAGTCACAGCAGAACTCAAGGCAAGAGCCTGGAGGTAGAAACTAAATCAGAGACCATATAGGAATGCTGCTTACTGGCATGCTTGCCATGACTTTCTCGGCTTCCTTTTTTAAAACTTATTTTTATCTTATGTGCCTCGGTGTTTTGTAGTGGGTATTGGGTCCCCTGGAACTGGAATTACAGACAGTTGTAAGTTGTCACGTGGGTGCTGGGAATTGAACCCAGATCCTTTGGAAGAACAGTCGGCACTCTAACCACAGCATAATCTCTCCAGCACCCTCAGTTTGCTTTCTTATACTACCCAGGAACATCCACCAGGGGTAGCACAGTCTGTGAACTGGGACCTCCAGTCCTCCCACATCAATTAGTGATCAAGACAATGCATCACAGATTTATCTAATGGGGCGTTTTCTCAACTGAGAAATCTCTTCCCACATGACCCTAGCTTGTGCCAAGTTAACAAAGAGCTAACCAACATGGGTCACTTATCCAAATAGCACTGGTGAGTAATAAACTAATGTGCAGTGCAGTCTGTGGTGCTCAGACCATGTGTGGCATTGGCACATCAGAGTGCCTCCATCACTGATGAAGGGTTCCATGTGTCCTGAGCGATGGTCTCTAACATCTAACAGGGTTTGCATTTGATGGCACCATTTCCCAAAATACCAACCAATTGCAGGCAGAGTACCCAACAAGACACCTGCAGCCTTATCCTGTCTCACTGCAGCCTCTATGGGTGCAGAGGGTGCAGACATTCTCTGTGCTCATAAGATGATTCTGAGCAGGTTCCTCCACACAGGGCTTGATGCACAGACTCTGGTGGATCTCACTGAATGTACTTTCCATATAAAGGTGGGTTTATGAGTCCTTTCCAGGGGTGACTGCTTAGCCTTTGCCATTTTCCATCCCCCGTGTCACAGAGGAGGAAAGTGAGGAAGGAGAGCCCATCTCCAGAGAACGGCCACAGTCACAAAGCGATGTGGTGGCAGATGAGTAGGTGGATGCTCTGCCTTCTGAAAGGGGGTAGCTGGCCTGCAAAGGCAGCTGTCCAGTGATTGTGTCATGTGCAAGCACTAGACAGAGACCATAGGAAGTGGTGTCTCAGGTCAGCACTTGCATGGACTCACACAGCACTTTGACCTGGTGATGCAGGAGCCTTCAGTGTTAGAGAAGGGGAGCCCGGACTGCACTGCCTCACAAGGGCTACTGCCGGCAGTATGTGAGGTGATTGCCAAGATACCGCTCTTGAATAAAAACAGCTGGGGCACACTGAAGTCAAGACACCCTGGAGTGTCCTCATGCCTTTCCCAGGGTGGGTGGGGGAGGCAGTCAGGTCAGTGATGGTGGGGGAGCTAAGGGCGGCAAGGGCAGCTTCAGACTCTGGGAGAAGGCCTGCACACAGTCAGGTTTACAATTAGTTTATAGCAACAGAAAATCAATACAAAACAACCGAAAAAGAATTTCACCAAAAGCAACTGGCAACCTTGTCTCTTAGACAATACACATTTATAAAAATGAGGCATCCAGAGATTGGGGGGAGCCACTAAGTACAGAAGCAGCCTGTCAGCTACAGTTGATATGTAACCCACAGTAAAAACAAACATTAATGTGTATCAGTATTCCCCAGGCCAAATCAATTAGGAAGTTTTTATGATAGTGGGACCCAGACCCAGGGCCTAGTGTCCTGCTACTGAGCTACTCCTCCAGCCCTGATCACATGGTGTGACTTCCAGTACCTTTAACAATAAGTGCTTTGTCTTACAGGAGTGGTTACCAATCAATAAAACTAATTCTTTTCCGGTAGCTATTTGTCTCCACATATGAGAATCAGTATATATTTGCTTAGATGACATTTTATAATATGATATTGTTAATGCAATATTCTAAACCAACGTTATTTCCACTCAGATTCCTTTCTTTATCACATACCAGTCAGACCGGCCTGCGGGCACAGCAGTGCATCCAATACCTAAGGGCACATTTGTGGGGCAAGGGTCTGTGATGGCAAAGAGGCTTTAGAAGCCAGGATGTACCTAACACGTGTGGGCAGTGCCATCTCTGCACTTAGTGCCCCTTTCTGTTAGCAGCATTCTTCGTTTACCAGTTGCCATGGAGAGTCTCGGGAGGAGGAGGTGGGCTGCCAGGCCTCATGAGACACCTCTCCCTGCTGCTGCCGCTCTTTGGATCTCAGAACGTGCACACTGAGCAGTGCCAGGTCTTCCAGGCACACCACCACCATGCCTGCATGGCTGGCCGTTTTAACCCAACCAGGGGCAGCAAGGAAAAGACAGACAGGCACTTCAGAAATGACAGACACATACACAGAAAAGCTGGGATCGGGTTGGCTGTGTGCGCTTTGATGAAGCCATACCAATCACACTATAACTGAAACCTCCCTGTGATTGTTATGTACAGAATGGGCTGGACACCAGAGGAAGTGTCCATAGGCCAGCAGTCTCAGGCTGTAAGCATCAGGGAGGAGGAAGCTGCAGTTGCTTATAAACATTTGTAGTTGCATACACTGACCAACCGTTTGTAAAGATTAGTACTTGGACCAAAGGAAGGTGTTGCCATTCCAAGCCTGACCTAAGAACAGTCTTGTTAATTTCTCACGGGTCTGAGGCGTTGGTCCTTGACATTGCTGTGTCCAGTCATTAGGAACTTCATCTGATCTTTATACATTTACTCGTGACTTCCTCACTTCCCCACACTCCGCCAACACCTGATGGAGGAAGAGGAGGAAGAGCCAGGGTGAGGGCACCTGGACTTTTAGTTTACAGCCCAGACTCTCATATTTGGTACACTTGACTCTTGACCAACACACTTCACAAAAGATTAAAAGGAGGCCAGGGGTTATGGACAAGCTTAATGGCTATAGGGCCCTATACTAGGTTGCATACAAGGAGCAAGCCCTTGAGCCCTTGAGTGATACTGTTTGCCTACATCTTGACCCTGAATTTCTAGCCCCTAGGACTGAGAGGAAAAACATTCAGTTGCTAACTGGCCACCTCTGCTACGGTGTTCTGTCCCGATAGCTCAAGTTAGTGGCACTGGGAACCATACAGGAGTGAAAGAACCTGTGTTGCTGAAGATTCCCTCAGGTGAAGGGGGCGGGCAGCCCTAACGACAGTCTCCTGGCTTAGGTAAAAGCAGGTAGCGCCATTCGTACCTGCATATGCACATGCTCAGTGCATGCCTCAGTTGAATATGGTGGCCAAAGATTCTACCCATCCTCCAGACTGTATCTTGGGCTTCTGGACCCAGGGGGTTAGAGTAGGGCACCAACCAATAGATGGGCAGACACTCTGTAAGCTACTGAAGACAGGGATGGCTGAGTGACAGCAAGGACAGGTTTGCCCTTTCTCCGTTCATGTTTGCTAGCAGGGTAGAACACTCCACATCCCTAGCTCATTTTTTGCTGGTCCCATCACATCCAGCTACAGTCTGAAAATATTAAATGGAACATTCTAGAAATCAACAGAGACCACATTCACATTGTTTTTATTTTTTTATTTCAGTGTATTTTCTGCTGTTCTATTTCATTAGTTATTGCTGTGAATTTCTTACTGCGATTAATTTATAAATTAAACTCCACCACTAGTATGTTCATATAGGAAAAAGTACAGTATGCGAGAGGGTGAGAACCACACTGTCCAGACATCCACTGGGGCCATAAGATGTGGGTAAGGTGGCTAGCGCATTTGGTGTGTGCACCTGGAAACAATTTAGAAGTTTGCTTATGTCTGTGTTTGGAGAGCTGGTCTCTTTATCATTATGTTAATGGTCCTCTTCTTTGTAACCGGTTTTCTGAACTCTTCTTTGTCTGATATTAGGTGGCTCCCCCAGCTCTTTGTTTCAGAGAGTGTCTTTTACCAATGTTTTTAGATTCATAATTATTGTAGAGAGTGCAGATTTGAGACTTGTTTTGCTTTAATCCCAATCTAACAGTTTTATCTTTTGACAGTGTTGACTGTTTGCATTTAATTATATGAATGATATGGATCGGTGAAAACCCACCATCTCTGCTAGTCTTTTCTCCTTGTTCCATCTGGTTTTTGTTTTCCACCTGTCGTCCTATCCTGAATTGATGGTGGTACTTAATGACTGTTTGCCCAGATTATTTACCTACTAGTGTTTAGCTTACCTGGGGTTTACGGACAGAATCGTTACGGAGAGCCTCACACTCTCTGCGCTCACTGTGGACAAGGCACAGCACTGCTCTCTTGGCTGTCCAGATCTGGTTATCTCAGAAGTGCTAAAAAGGAGAGAAAAGGGAATCTTATCTTCACCTTCATTTATTCCATTTCCATCACTCTGGGTAAATTCAGGTCACTGCTGGTGTCACCTTCCACTCTCCAGTGTAGATCAGCAGGCAGCGACTGGCTCCTTTGGGTTTGAGAAAGCCTTTGGATCGCCTTTGCGTCCCAGGGCTCTGTTAGAGGCAGAATTAGCAGCTTTCTCTCATCCCTGTAAGTGACGCCACCTGCTGTCTTCTGCCTTCTCTGCTCACCCTGATCTGCGTGCTGCGCTCTTACTTCCTTTCCCTGTATCTAACTTGTCTGTCTTCTTTGTCTTTGCTTTCAGAAGCCACGGGTGCTGTGGGAAGGGATGGTTTTGTTGTTGTGTTGCTGTTATTCACTTTCCCTGTGATATTCTCATGGTTTTCCTGATCTGTGGTGGTTTCGTTCGTTTGCTCTGTGTGTGTGTGTGTGTGTGTGTGTGTGTGTGTGTGTGTGTGTGTGT